ATGGTTTAAATGGTTTAAAAAAGGCAAGTAATCAAAAGTCTTACTATTTATCATTTGTTTGATTCTATGAGATGAAAATTTCCTTCATGGTCATTATACTGTTGATATTCCTGAATACATGTATTTCAAAGTACTTGTGGAACAATAATTTTATATTGTGTTAGTGGCTATCTTGAGAATAAGAAAATGCCAGATTAGATGTCTATATTGTACACTTGATTTTATTTATTTTATATTCTTCTGTATTATATACAGAGTATTAAAAAAAAAAAAAAAAGTAAAAAAGAGAAGGAAAACAACTGATACCAAAGCAGCTGTCTGGGCTGTACAAGTTTTTCAGTCAGTGGAAGTGGCTGGCCTAGGTTTCACTACCCACACCCGTTTCCAATCTGAGCAACTCATTTTCAGGAAGTTGGTCAGTACTGGTGACTAGGTTCTCAATGGAAGAGCACTTCTATTATGCAAAAAAAGGCTCCAGAACAAACCCCCCGAACTTCAGAACCTCTCCTTAGGTATAATTTTAATATTTCTTAGGCTGTGAAGCTTTCATTTAGGAAATAAAAGGGCAAGAGCCAGCGAAGTGCTCGCTTTAAACTGGCATTTGTGAAAGATACCTAAAGAAATTACCTTGGTTATTTCTTGGGGGAGGGTTGTATTGTATTGTTATTTCTTGTAAGTTATTTGTGCACTTTTATATGACCTGTGATTACACAGGACAAGTCAAATACTCTCGTTGCGATAAATTCATTTGTATTGTAGGTATCTTGCAGAAATGAAAACAATTTTGTTTTCAAATGCAAGCACACAAGATTCCTACTCTCTTTTTTTTCCTGTTTTTGCTGAAATGTGGCCAGTTTTGATGAGGTGACTTTCTGCTTTTTATGCATTCAGAAGGCAGAAAACGGTCAAGAGAATTTAGAAATAACTTTTAGATGGGGAATCAATCCATTGAAAATTCCAGGTTCAGCTTGAAGTTAAGATCGTCTGTAAAGTTACGTTGGTTACGTTAGGTAACTATCGCACGGTTCCCACACAGGTTTCTTGTAGGCACTTGGGTTTAGCCCTGCAGACGGGGTGTGCAGGAGACCCGTATCCTGCACTTGGCCCTCCGCGGCTCTGCTGAGCAGTTCCCTCCCGCAGGGATTTTGGCCAATGACGGGTTGCGCGGCAGTAACGTACGCAGCTCCCGCCTGCTTTTTACTGCTTTTTCCAAGGACCTGCTAACTTGAACAAGTGACAGGGATTGCCAGACTGGAGAGACGATGCGTCTTATCCCTTTTGATATGTGAGCAGTTGGCCAGTGAGCTTTCCTTGCCCCTGCCAGCCTGTCTCCTTGCTTTGGTGATGGCTTTCATTTGTCCCTCTTCAAACTCACAGAGAAGGTTGGATATTTCCCAGTGCCCTTACTGTTTTTTTCCTGCTATTCCTTACAAGGAATTGCTGATTTGTGAGAGGTGTGTTTACGTGCCCTCAGTTGTGGTCACTCTCATAAGTTCCGCAAATAAAGCAATGCTTTAGTCCAACTTGGCAAAGCTGGGGCTACACCTGCTGCATTCGTATCACAGCAAACGTTTCAAATTCAACTTCCAGGGCCAGTTAAAATGTAGTGAACATCTGAGAGACTTACTAGTGAAATGTAATAAAAACATGTTTGCAGTAAATCTTATTCTGTGTGGCATCAAGTTTATACATCGAAATGGTTGCTAAAAATAGTAGTCTTAAATATCAAATTATATTGGTGCTGATTAAACTACAGTGAGAAATGCCTTTGTGGAGTACAAACTGAAGCTTTATCTACGGCCGCTAAGATGCAGCAAAACCAGACTAATTTCCCTAGTGAAGCTATGAAAGCCTCACAAACTGTGTCATCACTGCTTAATAGCCTAAATTAAACAAAAACAACAACAACAAAAAACCAAAACAACAAAAAACACAAACAAAAAACCAAAAAAACACATCTGTTTATTTCTTTTTTTTTTTCCCCCCTTCTTTTTATTCCAGTAAGTGTTGCCTTTTGAGCATAGTCCTTTTGTCCTTGGGAGGAAGGTAGAACTTGTGAAGTCCAGGCTTACTGTAGTTGAGTTCAGGTCACAAACCTGTTGCTGTTGTACTTTTACAGAAATGAAGACTTTATTTTTCTAGTTACCAAGAACATACTCTATTAGGTAGAAAAATTGATCGTCAGTGGGACTTCAGTGCTGAGTTTTGACCTGTCTTCTAACATAGTGTATATGAACTTGGGTTCTTAAAAGAAACTATCATGAAAAATCAGCAAGAAAAAAATATTACACTGACTAGACATCCAAAATTTTCAGTAAATTGAAGATCCTTACCAAAATCTACTACTTACAGTAGTAAAGATAAAAATCTGACAGACTTACAGGTTAACACTATATGTGAGCATGAAGATTACCTATATTGGCTATACAATAATGCATCATTGTAGTAGTCCCTAGGAGCCTGTGTGATCTTGTGCTTTACAGCCAATGTGTTTTCAACTTTTTTAACAGAACAAAGAAATAAATGTAACTAATAATTTGTTTTGGTTTCGGAGACAGGTATCAACACTAGAAAGTCAGAGGGTTTTATGCACCTCTTTCTAGAAGGCTGGTGTTCAAATACTATGAAGTACTTGCAGGTGTCCTCCTTATACATAAGCAAACTCTCGATTTCCATTTCATCATGTATTTTTTAGTACAATTTTTGCATTTTTTAAGTGCTCAGTTATTGTGTTCTACTGAGAATTGTGTATTGTTTTGATATTTGATGAGTAAGTCTATGTTCAGAATGGATTTCAAGTGAAAAATCTAATACTGGATAAGGTTTAGGGCTTTTAAAGGTACTAGAATTAAGATATTCTTCCTAGACTCTTGAATCATCATAATCCACAGCAAGAAAGTATAGAAAAAAGGGCTATTTTTTTACACAGCTTGATTTCAATTGAATACTTTCAGTAAAGGAATGTTGTAATTCTTAGTAAACACAGATTAAAGTCAAAAACATCCAGAAAATATTTTAGAACTGTTACCACGCAGCCTCGATTGCAGGTTTAAGTGCAGAATGAAAAAAAAAACTTCAAGAATTTTTAGTTATAGATATTTTGATCACAAGAGGGGTGTTTTTAGAGAATTTAGTTGTACCAAATGTTGTGAATATTTGTGGTTTTTAGGTATTATTTTCCTCAGTAATACCTGCCAGCACACTATAGGTTTATAGAGGATTATTTGAGAATTCTTGTATCTGATTATATGAAAAAAAAATCAGATGTTTAAAAAAACATATTCCTAAGTGTCTTAAGACCTTTGGTGTGGAATGAAATGATGTAAAAAGCCCACTTAGCTTAAAAACAAAAACTTAGTTTAAAACAAAAAGCACGCTCCAAAACAATCTTTAAAATCTTCTGGGAACGGAACAAGGGCAGTTTAGCATAAAAAGGGTGGTTAGTTCAAGTTTTTAATTTCTTACAGGGATTTTTTTAAACAGGCAGCGGTTTCTAACTTTGTGTTTAAATATATACATACCCTTGTACATATATACACAAGAAAGGACACTATTTCAAGTTAGCTTCTAACCATTCACTGATGAGTGCCATTTCGTTCACATGAGGAAACTAGTTTGTTGGGTTTTTTTAACGCTACCCTTACGTTGTATATTACAAAGCAGTTTATTTTATACTAGCACAATATTAATTATGCCACTGAAACAATAGCAAATATTTGCAACAGTAACTCAGTGTTACAAAACCTTCTGTCACAAAGCCTTCTGTCCTTGAGTCCTCTCAAAGTCTCTGCGTCTGGTTTTGAGTCTGTCCTTAGGATTCTTGGAGAATGGAGTTTGAAAGCACACGCTATTATGTTATTGACTTGTTCGTTCTAAGAATTAAATCTTTTTCTCAGCAACCCGCTCTGAATCCTTGTCCCTTTATATTTATGAACCAAGCTCCACTCCAGTAAAGCAAATCTTCATACAGCACTCTAGGAAAAAAAAAAAAAAGATTTGCCAAAACATGTAATAAAAATCACTGTAGCAAAACAAAGTGTTAATTATATGAATATAGTAGCTCTCAGTAGTCACACTTCTTATTGGGAAGATTATTGTAAGATAAGCAGTAGCTTTATAAAGGTAATACAGGCTGTCTTACTGATAACACAAGCTATGTCCTCAGGGAAACATCATACATTCCAGCATATTTCAGGAAATTTCATAAATTTCAGCATATCTCACATATCTCAGACATGTCTGCTTCTCAGGATGGGACTTTGTTTTAAAGGAAATGTATTTTTGGTTTTCCCTGAGAGCACATGGCTTTGTCTCCTAGGTAGATTATATTGTCTTTAAAAAAAAAAAAAAAAACCAACCCAAACACAAAGCATCATGTGATTCACGAGTCTGACCCTAAATTCAGTGGGGCTTGTTTAAACAGTTAGCTCATCTTTAACATATCCTTCTAATGACATATACGTTCTTACTGCCCCTTTTTAACCTTGTGACTCCTAGAATGCTCTCCATGGATAAAGTATGAACGTATTTACTAGGAATTCTTTGTCATTTTCTTTTGAGCTCGGCAGTATGATCCCCCCCACCATGGAGATACATAAAGGTTTAGAAGTTAAGCCTGGATCAGTGACCAGAATTGAATTCTAGATACATAGAAGGCTATGCAGAAAATACATATAATACTGTTTGAAGTCATTATTAAGCATTTCTGGGATTTGTGCTGAGAAGAGGAAATCCTTGAAAGTGGTATTGAAAGGGAGATATAATACATTGTATTTGAAATGTAGAAATACATTCAGATAGTATTTTAGCAACCCGAAAAATAGAAAGGAAGCTGCACTAGTTAAATAAAGGGTAGAAAAACTTGGGGTTTGCCAATTTATGCATTCATCGTATGCTTTTTGAAAATTCCTCCAGAAAATGGTACATTTTAGTGTAATTTTGATTCTTCTTTTGGTATGTTTTTACAGTTTTTGTTTTCTTGTTGTTTGGGTTTTTTTTAGGAATCCAAAATGTACTCAGCTTATTCTGTGCCGTGCTTACAGAAAATAAGGTTCTCTTTCACTCAGCAAGTTTTCAGAGGCTCAGTGATGCCTGTAGGGCTCTGGAGTCTTTGATGTTTCCTCTTAAATATAGGTGAGTTGAGTTTTGATTCTTTGAACTCTTTGACTAATTTTATAACTCATTTTATAACTTATATTACATTGTCCTTAACAGAAGGAGTTGTGCTATGTTTGTTCAAATAAGTAAAGGTTTTCATGATCATATATACAAGTCCCAGGCTGTACACATCGTTAATAAAAATCTAATTGCATCACGACGGTGGAAACAATTAAAGAAGAAACATCCTACCTACAAATACAATAGAAACCCTACCCACAATGTCAGTTGGATGGTAAAAGTTGTCAGTGATCATCCATAAGTAAATGAATGGAAAAGACGTGGGGGAGATCTAATAACAGCCTGCCAATAAGTAAGAGGAGGGGTGTGGCAGGAGGACAGGAGATTGGGGTCATAAACCAAAACGGGGAGAGGGAGGTTTCTGACTGGATGCAGGGAAAACGTGTTTTATGATGAGGGTAACTAAGCAGTGGAACAGAGAGCCTATGGAACTTCCATCCATGTAGGTTTTCAGGACCCCGCTGGACAACTTGATCTGGATCCAGTCTTGACCCTGCTTTGAGCGGGGTTGGAGCAGTCCAACTCAGTCCATGAGTTGGACTAAATGATCTCCTGAGGCCCTTCACAACCTGCAAGATTCTGTGGTTCTAAGATAATATCTGCATTAGCTTGTATCACAGTTTTAAGTCACTGACAAATGTCCAACAGCAAATGAATTTAAATGAACAAATTGATTCTCTCTAAAAAGCCTCATCTGCATCCAGTGTTTTGAAGTGGAAAACTAAATGTCAAGCTATTTGGTGGGGGTTTTTAGGAAGACGACACCTAATTCTGATTCATCTGTTTTAAAAGATGCTTGTATTTTAGTAGCATATTTTTATTTAAAATATTTCAGAGATGGGCTTAATTTTAATATAGAATAAGAAGGAAAAACTATTGAAACTAAGTTTTGGACTATGTTTCTCAATGCTAAAATAGTCAAGAATGTAAATTTTTAACAACTGTAAATCAGGTGTTGAAATGCATTGATCAATTTAGATCCAGATTTTCACATTGCTCTGATGAAAACACTACATTTTTTTAAATTGTGAAATGAGGTAAACATTTTCTGAAATATAGCATTCTATACCTGATGTTTGGTTGTCATTTCAACATCAAAGCAAAAGATGTCATTTAAAGATTTCTTATTAATGATATTTTACAAAAGGCTGAATTGTAGGTGTCTGGCTAAAAACTAGCCATCTTTTTAAAAATGGAAGTATCATGCATGACTTTAGTGTCCCTAGTTACCTAAAAGTTGTGGACAAATATAATGTCCATGTAACATAAACGTTACCAATATAGATAGTCTTTTCTTACTTTGCAAAATACACTTGTTTACAATAAATTGTGAACCCTAAAATACAATAATTTCTGGAATTCACATGACAGATGTTCTTTTAACAGTGTGGCACTTCATAATGAAGTATTTAATAAATCCTTTCATCTTTTGTATTTTTAAAATACAGGTATTTGTAGTAAATTTAACATGTAACAGGAATAATTTTATTTTATTTTATTTTATTTTGGTTTTTTTTAGAAAAAAGCTGGTGTATGTGAAGGGATAGTTGGGAGCTTTTATTTTATTTTATTTATTCTTTTCACAGTTATCCCTATATTCCAATTCTTCCTGCACAGCTACTGGAAGTTCTCAGCTCACCAACACCTTTCATAATTGGTGTACATTCTGTCTTTCGTAATGACATTCATGAGCTTGTAAGTATGTCTACCCAGTATGTTCATAGTCCCAATGTCATTTGTGATATTTAGTTGCAGAGATTTTCCATGATTCAGAGATGCTTGTATGAACAATACATATACTTTAAAAATATTACTGTAGAAGGCAAGGCAATCAGGAGGAGAACAAAGAAAAAATGTCAATTGTTTTGTGAATACATTGAGACTATAAAGTAGAGGAGGGGAATTATTTTATTCTAGTGCAGGACGGGAACAAATGGATCCATTTCCAGCTTTGTCATATATTTGTCATGAATTTGAACAATTTGCTTACGATTTTCAAATGTATCCTGAATTATTTTATTTTCTCCTTATTTTTTAAGCATATGCTTGGAGAAACTGAACCAGGGTTACAGAGGTACCTAGAAACATGTAATTTTACTTAGAGTTGTCATTACTGTTTCCTTTTGCAAACAGCGTATTAGATATTTCAAATCACGGAACACAGACCTGGAACACCCAGAAAGAGAAGTGGCTTTTGAAAGTTCGGCCTAATTTCACCTTCTTAGGTTTACATTAATTTTTCACAGCTAGATTCAGTAATATGAAGTATTTGGAGTATTTTCTTTATCAAAAGCATTCTATACATTAAAATTAATACTGTTTTAGTTGGTTTATTTTAACTTATGTGTGGATAATGAAATTTGAACTTCCGTGTTTTTAAACTATTCTCACAGTATGCACTACCGATAATATTTTTGTTTGTTCTTTACAGTTAGATGTAATCATAGCAGACCTGGATGGAGGCACAATTAAAATTCCTGAATGTATTCATCTTTCTCAGCTGCCAGAGCCACTGCTACATCAGACTCAAATGGCGCTTTCTCTAGTATGTTTTGATACAAACCCCGTTTTCATTATCTTGAAGTTCAACAAAAGAATAACCCATTAGTCTTAAAGTTTATTTGTATGATGCCCTTATATTAATATTCAAGAATGATTGATTCTGCACTAGGGAATCACCAAAATAGTAGTTCAGTTTGTGTTTTTACTATTATTGTCGTAAATTGGAAGACACCTTATTTGGAGGCTTCTGAACAAATCTTCTTATCTTAGAGAAGACTTTTCTGTCTTGTTAATCTGTTTCAGATGAATCAATTCTAAAAACCCCAACTATATTGATTAGCTTCATTGACTGTAATAAGATTTTTAGATAACCAGCTCACTTACAGAAACCTGAAGCTGAGAAATTAATCCCACCTTTATTTCCATACAGTCTTCATAATTTAAGTCAGTCTATTGTTTGAGGTACTTAATATCAGTGAATATTAATTTGAGAAAAAAAGAAAAAAAAAATTTGTCCTTTCCTCAGCCAAATGAGGGAAAAAAAATTTTCTTTAAAAAATTCTCTAGGTTTTGCATCCTGATTTGGAAACAGCAGATTATGCATTCCCTCCCCCACGAACAGCTTTATCACACTCAAAAATGCTGGTAAGATTTCTGTGTTATGTCTGACTTCCTTAAGTAGAAACCTGTTGAAATTTTAGACTAACTTTTTTTTAAGAATTTCTACTTTGTGTTTTCTTTTCCATATCCTTTATAGTATTATTGGTGGAGCAGAGAAATGCCATTGGACTTTGCATTCTGTGCTCTAATAGCACTCAAGATATTTGTATTAATATGAAAGCACCTTATTTTCTTTTAATATTGCTGTCTATTGAGTTAAATCTGTACCTTCTCTATTTTGTAGACCAGTAAAGCTGCAGCCTTTTACCTGAGTGGACAAACTGGTCTCTTTGTGTGTGTGTATGTGTGTGTAAATGTTAAAATCAAACTCTTTTACAGATACCCCATCCCCCAAGGAAAAAAAAAAAAGTTCAGAAACACTAAAAATGTCATTCAAGATCTAGATTTTAGAGTAAATATGAGTAAAGATGGGAGTGGTAGCTGTGTCAGCAAAACATAAGCCACTGGTTCTACAATAATAATGATAATTATTGTGCATTGTATGTTTGGACATACTGGGAAAGGAGTTACGTGTTTAACATTGGATTTGGCTTTAATGAACCTCAGCCTGAATGAAGCAATATGTAATTGTCTATACTAAAAAAAGTCTGTAGAACATTTTCTACTAAAATCTAATTGATTTAGATTAAAAGTAGTTGTGAAGCCATGATAACTTAACAACTTGGTAAAGCTGCTGTTTTTCACTTGTAGGAGTGTCTAGAATTGAACACAAGTTGGTAGTCCAAACTAAAATCCAAAAGCCATTAAATTTAAAAACACACTTTGCGTTTTTTGTGTAGGTGTATTCAAAAACATACAACCCTGAAGTGGTACAATATATTTGTTGTTCTTATTTCTTGCTTTAAGATTGTTTTTTCATTGCTGAAGACAGAAAATGTCATCCAGATTGCATTTAAACCGATGGCAAAACCCAGCTAAGATTTCACTTTGAATGGTGAAGTTATAAATTAATATAATTATGTATCAAAATAAGAATTTTCTTAAATCTGAAAGAAATTACCATGTTTTCGAGTCATCCAGAAGGGGTACAAATGTACCTGTTAAAATCCTAGAGAGCAGCCTGGACACAGAGAAAATTAAGAATCCCTCTCAGTAAAGTGAACCCTTACAAAACTGAGTTAAAATAGAGTAACACCAATCATGTTCCACAGAAGAATAAACAGACATCTAGAAAAATATTGTAATAGGACAGCTTGATAGAATCTTGTATATTCTGAAACTTAGTTCTTTAAAAAAACATTACAAGCTTTAACTTATTTAGGTTGTATTTGCTTGTTGATTAGCTGATCAGCTGTTTACCTGATTCGTTAAGCTAATATTTTTTGTGCTTGTAACTTTTAAAGTTAGAGTTTAAAAGACCTTTGAGACACCATAAAACTTGAGGTCATAAAACAGTTTTCAAGACCTCAGATTTCAGGTGTGGCAGCAGTCTGAGTAGGTACCTGAGCTAAGATAAAATAACGTGGGTGGCACAGGATTTGGTGACAGTCTCTAGTTGCATCTGAGCCAGCTGGAGATGTCGCTGCCCCAAGTCTGCCCCCAACTGTTCACATCATTTCCATTAACCCACTGATGTTTATTTAAGCACTCCCTTACTCATTTAAAGCAAAATAAACCAGGACTTCAAAGATCTACCGATTTAAACTTTTAAAACTAACCCTGGCTTGTTCTGGCTGCAGTGGATTGGCAAGCGAAGACTTGAGTTGGAAGAGTCCTAGAGAAGTAGCTGAGCAAACGTCGAGCAGTCTCCCCAGCTGGCAGAGCCACAGCGGACGTCTGGTGATGCCTGTGATGCTCTGAGCCTGGCTCCGGCAGCAGCAATGCCGGCTCCTGTGGTTCCCTGCCACCCCGTCCACTCCAGTGACACTGCTTGTGTAGTGCTGCAGAGCCACACTTATTTTAGGGAATAAATCCAGGCTAAAATACGCCCTTTCCTTTATTTAGTGTTGGTTTTCTCTCATGGCAGTTCCTTCACATGGTTCACCATGTGCCCACCCCAACAGTTACACTTGCATTGCCCAGAGGCTGTTGTGCGGGCACAGAGAAGAGCAGTAGGAGTGAAGGGGTGAACATGCACTAAATCTAGTCTTGCCATCTGAGGACAGGTCGGTGAAACTCTGGCCTCATGTAAGATAAATCCATACATGTACAAGTATCTCCGCTTTGTATGCTACACTGCTGCATTGTTTGATGAATTTGTAGGTGTTTCTTGGGTAGCTTTATACAAAATGTGGGAAAGTTTTGAATATGAAAATGTTTTGATAGCATATTCAATTCCTGCTTACAGGATAAAGAAGTGCGAGCAATCTTCCTTAGGCTATTTGCACAACTTTTCCAAGGATACAGGTCCTGTCTTCAGCTGATCAGAATTCATGCTGAGCCAGTAATTCATTTCCATAAGGTAAAAGAGAAGCAGTTATGTATATTTAGTTAATATTAATTTGTGTCACGTTATTCCCACAAGCTTATGTTTTGTACAAATGCTAAAGTTTAAAAAAATAAAATAAAATAATCTATATGTGATAAGCATATCATTTTGACATAGCACTATATCAGTGTATTTTAGTGGGACTAAGTGCAGGGACAGTGATGAAATGTGAAACAAAGTTAACATCAAAATGTAATACAAAGAAACGTCTGAGGAATCATTAAGGAATTCTGAAAACGTATGTATGTAATTAGAAGACAGTGCTCGAAAGTACTGGTTTTCTGTGTTACTACCTGTGAGATTTATGAAATGTGTGCATCAAGCATCCTGTTACATCACTCTTGAATTTAACTATAAAAAGATACTAGGTAATAGAAAAGATTTAATTAGAAAGTACCACATATTAGCATGAGCTGGTGAAAATGTTTAATTGCTAGTACATAAATAGTTGGTTGTAGTTTTGATACTGATAAAATACATGTATTTTTTTCTATTTCTAATCCAGGCAGCCTTCTTGGGGCAGCGAGGCTTAATTGAGAATGACTTTCTAACCAAAGTTCTCAATGGAATGGCATTTGCTGGTTTTGTGTCAGAGAGGGGTCCTCCTTTCAGAGCCTGTGATCTTTTTGATGAGGTAAAAACTGTTTCTATATTGCCAAGTAACCTAAAATGTACCTATGATATTTCAGCATGTGAAAAACTATTTAAATGCTCCTGAATCCTCAATGTTTATTATATAAAGTTTATACTAAACTTCTCAATTCTCATTTTCTGCTAAGCATACATTTCTAGTTTACTTCCATAAAACTATGCCCAGCTCATATGTATGAAGTTAAACAGTTGCATAAATCATAGTAATGCTGTTCCTATTGTCGGGTTTGGAACTTCATAATGCATCACATTATTTTGAATAATTTACTTATATTCTTAGAAACATTGAAAAAGTAATTGAGAAATACTAAATTAAATACGTATTCAACAATATAAACTGGGACAAACATTTCTTCTTTTTAAAAGTAATTTTATGTTTGTTTTTACTGTGCTGGCTTTTATTTGACTGTAGAGTAGAAATAGAGTTTAGTATTAATTGTGCATAGGAGTAGTATATACAAGAAATATGGATTGAGTTATTAGAAATGTTAAAGCAATGTTTTAGGTATGTAGGACTTCCTCTGTTAGGTAGGACTACAAAATCTAGTAACAGAAGCTCTATAAGAAAGTGAAAATGTCACATGTTCCAGAGCAACGTGACATTGCACATTTTTCAGTGTTCAGTTTTCTTTGCTCAGTTTCAATTTAAGATTAACATTTCCTAACTTAAATAGGAAAGAAATTAATTTTAGTTGAATTATCAACACTTTTATTCTTTTTGTTTGTTTGTTTTAAAGTTGGTAGCCTTTGAAGTCGAAAGAATTAAAGCCGAGGAAGGTAATCCACCAAAAATGATAAAGCACGTTAGAGAACTTGCAGAACAGCTCTTCAAAAATGTAAGTTTACTGTACCTGCTACACTTTCAGAGTTGAGGTAGTAACATGAAAAATTCTTGTTTCTGAGATTGATCCAGTATTTGCAAATGGAGATGACCACTTGTGGTAGTCATCGTCTGTGTTATGACAGAAGACTTTGGAACTTTAAATGTCACCGACGTTATGCATGTGAAGGAAGTTCAATATAATAATATATATGCTAATATTGATTTACATGTAGCTACTGCTACTTAGCATTCTATTTTCTTAGTGTGTATTCACATAATGTATATAAACTATTATTTTCTCTGCTGCAACCTGTCTGTGCCAAATACATCTCTTTTCTTGCCTCTCAACAGTTTTCCATATAAATACTGTACATCCAGTTTGGCATAATGATGTATACTTTCAGCAGATCTTTCCTGCTGTGCAGCCCGGTCCCCATGGCTGGTGTGCTCAGCCAGCACTATGTCATTTCTTACAGCCTGTTTCTTGGACTCTTTACATTTCCTACAATACCGTTTCCAGTTTCACTCCTGCCTTCCTATCATGCCTTTATGTTACATGGTGCTTTTGTAAAATCTCTTACCATTCCATTTGCTGGCGGGGTTTTTTTGGTGGTTTGGTGTTTTTTTTTTTTTTTTTGGCATTAGCTAATCGCCCTCACCCTTGCACTTCTTGTTCAGACCCCACAGAGCAATATCTATTATGCAGTCAGTTAACACCTTTATTGCCCTTTCTTTTCTATATCCCACTCCCCCAAAACTATGATTTACATCTATTCTTCTATTAAAAAAAAAAAAACCACAAGAATTACTAAGTACTGCTAACTTCTGGTGGCGCAGGTTGGCTTGTGTGTGTGTCTCTTTTTTCCGAAATGAATTGCATGTAAGCATGAGGGAAGTAATTCTGCCCCTGTGAGAACTCCCATGAGGTCATGAGGTGACTCTGCTCTTGTGAGACCCCACCTGCAGTACTGCATCCAGCTCTGGAGCCCTCAGCACAGGAAAGACATGGACCTGTTGGAGCAGGTCCAGAGGAGGCCACAAAAATGATCAGAGGGCTGGAACACCTCTCCTGTGAGGACAGGCTGAGAGAGTTGGGGTTGTTCAGCCTGGAGAAGAGAAGGCTCCAGGGAGACCTTGTAGCAGCCATTCAATACTTAAAGGGGGCTTATAAGAAAGATGGGGACAGACTTTTTAGCAGGGCCTGCTGCGATAGGACAAGGGGCAATGGTTTTAAACTAAAAGAGGGCAGATTTTAACTAGATAGAAGGAAGAAATTTTTTACAACGAGGGTGGTGACACACTGGCACAGGTTGCCCAGGGAGGTGGTAGATGCCCCATCCCTGGAAACATTGAAGGTTGGCTTGGACGGGGCTCTGAGCCACCTGCTCTAGTTGAAGATGTTCCTGCTCATTGCAGAGATGCTGGACTAGATGGCCTTTAAAGGTCTCTTCCAACCCAGACTATTCTATCATTCTATGATCTTGTCAGTGTCAATGCAATCTTTGTTTGGGATAAAATTAGTATCTTTTCCATAGGAAATAAAAACTTTACAACCAGTGCCCTCAGCAAGCTTTTGGATGGAAAAATACATCTATGTATTTCAAGTAAATGGAATATGTGAATAGTAAGGTGTGTGAAATGAGGTTAATCTGGCTTTCATATTGTCCTTCACTGCAGAATTTGTGTGTCTGTCTTCAGACACACTCATTCACTCACTCGCTTCATTTCCCTTTTCCTCTGAAATTGCCAAATAACTATTATAATTTTTTTGTATAAGACCAATCGCATTTTAACCTACCTTGTCGACCCAAGATGTTAGAAGAGAGAGTAAATACATCTCTGTGGACTAATTACACTTACTGTTTGTGTACTTAAAAATGTGTATGAAATGTTGTGTCTTGTCCATATGTGATGTAGCATACTTATTGGAGTATCTTAACACTGACACTTTAGACTTACAATAAGAGAATGTATCTTGTGAAAATGAAGAAAAACATCAGGCACCAGAATTTTTGTTACACAGATTCATTTCATCCATGAAATTTCATCTGTAATAAAATGTTACTTATTCTATGGTATACCTCCTCATCATATAGCAGTCTTTTAATGATAAGTACTGATGGAATCATCTTCTATTATGAGCTAAGTTTAAGTTATTGGAACGCAAAACTTCTGAATAAATATCAAATTCTCTGCTATTAATTTAATAGTGGTGCCTTATAGTGTCAGAAATAATTGATTTTAGTCTTTTATTATGATGAGATTGATTGTGATTGAACTGCTACTTCACTACCACTAAGTCAATGACTGAGTGTATTTAAAAGTCAGATTTTTAGTAGTTATGCATACAGCTACCTCTGAATAAAGCACTGTGATGAGTAACATTGATTCTGTAAGTTGTGCCTAGAGCTGCCTGATTTTAAACTCACTGCATGACATATTTTGACATCTTGTTCCACAGTTTAAATAGTCATTATATGGTAGCTGTGGCAGTCTAGATACATATGAGAAAAAGGGTTTGTTAGGGAGAGATAATGTTTGTATTAGCCTAGCTGGTACAAGTGGAAAATCTAGACAAGTTTTTGGCATATACTGCATCAGCAGTTGAAGACATTAAACCTACATTCCTAATAGCATATACAGCTGGGATTATGTTTGTGATGGCCAAGATTAAAGTAACTCTTTCTGTATGTTTCCTCTGGATGTCTCTTCTCCATGAAATGGAACATGGAATAGTAATTCTTCCTTTCTGGCTTCTTCTGCTATGTGTCATCTGTTAGCCCCTGCTGAGATTGTGTTCCCTTTCTCTGCCTTGCTTCTCCCGGCATCTGCTGCTCTCATCCCCTTAGCTAGATTTTTGGCTTGTTTCATTAAACTTTCCTCTGCAGAGAATTTGTGTGGCTAAGTAGCTGGTTTGTTTTGACTGCTATTTCTCAAGTTGATGCATTTGATCTCCTTGTTGTTTTTTGCTTCCGTAAAAGAAAGTGTCAAGCTAGCTCCAATCTATAAGTTTTATTGCAAGCTAGTTTTGCTTCTACAACAGAAACCTAATTGATCGCTTAGCACTCTTTGGCAGTGGTACATAACCAGTAATAAGTAACAGCATAGAGTTAAATTGGAAAACAGTAAATTCAAACATGATTAATGAAAACCCAGGTATATGAATGAAGAGGTGAAAATATCCTGTTTTGTTTGATTGATCATTACACACCTGAAGACGTAAGATGATCCTGTGAATAGTAGTAGAATCCTTGTGGAACATGTAGATCTCAGCTGTATTTTGGAAAAGGTACAACCTGAAGCCAGAAAAAACCCAAACAGACAAGAAATACTATCAACCATTTGAGGAAAAAAATTAAAAGAAATAGTGACTTTTCATATCTTGTTCTCTTCAGGATGTCTTTCAGGAATATATGTTTTAAACAAGCTGAAATCAATGTGGAGGTAGTTGAGTGAAACTTAGTGGTTTGTGATATACATGATCTTTCTGGTTGCTGAACACCAGAGGCAAAAGATGCATGACCACATATAGGAAAACATACTGTACTGATGCTGTGTCTGGTACTGACAAAAGCCAACAGAGCTTACCTACATAGAGCAAGTCTTCAGATATCCCACATACAGTTGCATCTCTGTTGTATGATACAGGTTGTATTTTGCTAATGTCTTCAGTATTGCATGATGTCACTATCAAGACATATAATAATTACATAGTAGCAGATGCAGCAATTATTTTGGCAAAACAAATAAGTCGGTGTTCTGTCATGTGATGATTACATTTTCTTTTAAAGAAAAAGAAAAAAAAGACCATAAAAGAGTGAGTGAAAAATCATTGTAGGCAAACATTTGTTTTCACAGTGGAAATTCTGATACTTTTGCAACAATAGAATTATTTTCTGTCCTTTGAGAACACTCCAGCGTCTGATGTGCCATCTTCTTTTTACTTTCTGTGTAGTTTAGGCCCATCATGTATTCTCTTCAATCACCAGTATTAACTTTTTTCATTTTTTTTTTTTAGTGCAAACAGTGAGCTGTGTGACATATATTTATGGGACATGCAGAAGATAGAAAATTGTTCCCTAATGAGGGATGGCCATATTTTGATAAAACATGGTACAAAAATGAATTTTCACTTTGTAGTCTTGATCAAGATGAGAATATTTCTCAGTACTCGGTGAAGAGATTGTATGTTTTAATATTCTTCAACCCTCCCTCTAATGAAGAGGTTGATTGTCAAACTAATTTCTCTTCAAGTCCTAAGTATTCATTAAGCTGCATAAAATCAATCTAAGTTAAGCAGTGATTTTCTTTTGCTTTCTTTTATTTTGAATTTTGCGTGTCAACAAAAATAATTTTATAAAAGCCTTTAACAAGGCTGGAAGTATTACAGATAACGAATCAAGGGTGATACAAGTATGAAACATGATATTAGTCAGCTGCATTAGATACTTGGCTTCTTGATCTGTTGGGTATGACAGATACACAAAACAATAAAAAAATGGGATGAGACAGATGGTAACATCGCATAACACATTTGTGTGTAACCTTTTGCTTTTGACCTTCAGGAGAATCCCAATCCCCACATAGCGTTTCAGAAAGTGCCGCGGCCCACGGAGGGCTCCCACTTGCGAGTTCACATCCTCCCTTTCCCCCGGATCAATGAGTGCCGGGTGCAGGAGCTCCTCCAGGAAGGCCTCGCAAGGAGTCAGGGTGCCCCCCCTGCCAGCCGGGGGGACAAGAAGTGCGTCGTTCCAGCGGGTCCCCCTGTTGGTATGTTTACTTGTTCCCCAACTTATCTATTTGTCATCGTGTCTCATGAATTGAATATATAATTAGCATGGCTGCAATGTGTTGCTCCCAATTTCATGTTAATACAATGTTTTTAGTGACTGTAGTAACCTTTAGTACATAGACTTGCCTGTTTGCCTTTGCAATTTTAAAAGTCCTTTTGCCACAACCTTTTCTAAGAAGTCAAACATTCACAGTGGAAGTGGCATAACTACTAACAACAAAAAAGGATTTGATCTGAGTTAGATTGAACCATTAAATTAGATATTGTCTACTCATCTAGGTCTGATGAATATCACCATAGGTTACTTGTAGGACTGGCTGAACAAAGCTTTGAACTCTTAGGGTTTCTCCTTTGACACTAGTGGAAGACATGTAAATTACTGGAAAAAGGCAAGGAACGAACATAGCATATGTGTCAAAATAAATATACCTATATTTAAATATAAAGAACAGATATAGACATTGCAGGCCTGTCAATTTAATTTTAATGCCGGAAAAATTCTATTAGTCATAGTTATATTCATCAATGTGAATGATGGTGTAAACAAGTACGTGTAGTAAACTCGCAGGACACATGAAAACTGGCAGAGCTTGCGAAACTTTGTAAAAAGTGCAGTGATTCAAATCAATCTTGAAAAATTAGAGATCTGGTCTCTAGTCTCAGTTGAATTTTGTCCTTACTGTTTTTCTTCAAATAAGGTATTGCACTTGCATAGGCATGATCAGCTGACTAGGCAACAGTTTTTCAGAAATTAATTTGGAGATTATAATGATCATAGGGCAAACATGACCCAACTACATCAAGCTATTGCAAAAAAGACAAACATCTTAGTAGGATGTATAAACAGGAGTACAGTCAGTGAACTCCATGGAGAAATCCTTTCGTTGTACTCAGTAAGACCTCAGCTGGACTGTTTGTGTCCATTTTTGGATACTGGAAGACTGTCTCCGGTTTTGGTTCTGTTGGAGGGAGTCCAAAAGAAAGCAACAAGAATAACCAGCGTTCTGGAGAATGTGACCTACAAGGAAAGATGGAGAGTTGTTTAGACTGAAAAATAGAAGACTGAGGGAACACATAATAGCAGTCTTCAATTACAGAAGAAGCTGTTAAAAAAAGAGAGGGAATAATCTGTAGTGATAAGAAATAATGGGTTTAATTGCCGCACAAAAATAGAGTTGTCAGGAAAAACTTGGTAAAACGAGGATTGTGACACAGTTGAATGAATTTCTTGTGAAGCCATGGAGTCTCTGTTATCACAGAACTTTGGGAACATGTTAGACAAACATGCGAAATAACATAAATACAGCTGATCCTGTCTAGGGACAGCAGGATGAACTAGATGGCCTCTTGAGACCTCTTCCAGGCCTGTTTCTTTTCGGGTTTGTGCAAGAAGAGGATAAACTCTATTCACCTGCCTTTGCTGTTAACTATATCATTGAATCTGTTACTTAAAGGAAATTTAAAGGGGATGTGCTTGTGTTATGTTGTCTTTCTTTAAAAGGCTAGATGCAAGAGAAGGTTTTCTTTCTTAATAACTTAATTTTTATGTTAAAATTTTGTTTGATTTTTGGGTTTTTTTGGGTTTTTTTTCAAGGAACAGCTTTCACAGTAATACTCCCTGCTGTCCTGTGTGTCAAAATCCTTGGATATTAGAAGGTCATTATCATCTACAAGAAGGCCATATTCTGCATTTATATGCTGTTTACTTGATAATAAAGAGAAAAAGAGAATGTTAGTTCTTCCATTCTGAATTTTCTTGAAAATTCGGAGCTAAACACTGCATTAAGAAAATAATCTTTAGATGTCAGCAAATTGGAATCTAGATAAGAGAACAGGTTTGTCAGATTTTATTCCATGTCACAGATTTTTTGGCATGGCCAATGAATTTTTTAGTAAAAAATAGTTACCTACTGCTACAAAACAAGCAAGGCTATGTAGTTCACTGCAAAACACACACACGCACACATATTTATATTTTTAATTCATTTGTATTTATTTATATATTTCATTAGTATGTTAGAGGTTGCCTGTATGAGACAAATGGAACAAGTAGTAAAGAGAATCAACTGTTCCAGTTAAAATTCAGAGCACTGTCTTCTTCAGATAGTACAGGAAAACCAAAGATTTAGGATTTCATGTTCCCATCTGTATATGCCTAGTAACGGTATTTGCTTAACAGAACAAAATGGAGGGCACATTAATTTATTTTTTTTATGTAAAGAACTTTCTGATATTCTTTGTGGCTCTTGCAGAAGACTTTTCACACATGTATATTCTTCTTTTTCTTTATTAGTTTCCATTATGGAAAAAGGAAGCACAGTTTTCAACAGTGCGCAAAGGCTGGAAGTTGTTAGAAACTGCATCTCATTCATCTTTGAAAACAAATTTTTGGAGACTGAAAAGGTAATAAAATGAAATTTTAACTTTCCTAAATCAACCTCCGTTCTGCTAATGAGCAAATGGAGACTGACCTTGTCATAAAGTACATTTTAAAGTCTTGTTTCCAAAACTAATGATTATTTTAACCATTTAAATGAATGAAGCAATAAAACTAATCATTTAAATGCAGTAATGTGTGTAATATGAAGCTAATGGATTTGAAACCCTTTTTGATAATTTATATTACCATTACAAATAGTATTGCCCACATGATTTTTTAAAAAAAGGGGTGTATATTAGCCTAACAGTATTGAATAGGAGGAATGTAAACAAAAGGCTTACATAGATGTGTCGGTGTTAGTCAACCAATGCTCTTTTGAAATTTTCAGTACAGTAAATTCTGCTGGTTGTAAAAATCAATAATTTTATAGAACTCGGAGATGAATATAAATATTTGTCATGTCTGTACTCACTAAAATGTACTAGGGAGTTGTCAGCTCAAGACAGTGTGCAGCTCAAGATACAGAAAGAGCGTATTTTGATTTATAAGTTATGTTACGGAAATGCATATGGGCAAAGTCCTAATAACTTGTGTAGCTCTTTTTAAAGAGTTTTGATGCATGTGCAGCACAGTAGTTTTTAACCTCTTTCAACTTACAGGCGCTTGGAAAATTTCAGTAGTTTTTTGTCCCCCTGCGTAGTAAATGTGTCCTTGGACAATAGGCTACCTTTTCTTATTTATCTGTTACCACCTGTTAAATCTGTCCTACAGGGCCACAGTTGATAATCACTGATGTAGCACTTGCTGCATCTTTAAAGCATTGGCATAAATAATAAACAGTGCCAAATTCTATTGGCATTGTTTCAGGGTAAACTGCGTAACAGTCTTGTGGCCTCATTGCTATGAGAGGTATGCCACTTCTAAAGCCATTTGTCATATACTGCTTATCAAAAAGCATGCTGGTTGGCCTTGATGTGCTAACTTGAGACCTGGCCTGGCTGGTACAGAATAGAGCTTGCTTTCGTGCACAATAATCCATTTCTGATTTCACATCCATTCAATGCCTGTCCATATTCAATGGTTTCTATTTACAGATATAGGTGAGTGTCCTGGTTTCGGCTGGAATAGAGTTAATTTTCTTCCTAGTAGGTGGTGCAGTGCTGTGTTTTGGGTTTAGGATGAGAATAATGTTGATAGCAACAACTAAAACATCAGTGTACATCATTTAAGTAATGTTTGCACTAAGTCAAGGACTTTTCAGCTTCTCATACTGCCCTACCAGCAAGGATGCTGGGGGGCACAAGAGGTCGGGAGGGGACGCAGATGGGACAGCTGACCCCAACTGGCCAAAGGGATATTCCATACCGTATGGTGTCATGCTCAGTATATAAACCGGGGGGCAAGCTGGCTGAGGGCTGCTGCTCGAGAGCTGGCTGGGCATCAGTCAGCAGGTGGTGAGCAATTGCATTGTGTATCATTTATTTTGTATATTCTACTATTGTTAGTGTTGTTGTTATTTCCCCTTCCTTTTCTATTCTATTAAACTGTCTTTATCTCAACCCACAATTTTTTTTTTTTTTTTTTTTTCTTTTCCCTCCCCCTGATTCTCTCCCCTATCCTACTGCAGGGGGGCAATGAGGAAACAGCTGTGTGGTGTTTATCTGCCTACCGGGTTAAACCATAACAGTGAGAAATGCTGTTTAATGCATTTGGAAAAAGCGTAGGAAAAAATTAATATTTAATGACTCAAGCTAAATCAACCATTATGTGAAAGGTTGATATTTTACCCAACGAGTCATTTCCAAAGTTACGCTTTACTGTATTGTCACTTGCAGTTTAATAAAGAATGAACAAAATTTAGTATGAATAGTGCCATTTAATTTCATTTTCATGAAGTTAGTTTTTCTTGTCTCCAGACCCTGCCTGCAGCTCTGAGAGCCCTAAAAGGAAAGGCAGCTCGGCACTGCCTGACACAGGAATTAGGCCTGCATGTTAAACAAAATCGAGCAATACTGGACCATCAGCAGTTTGACTACATTGTGCGAATGATGAACTGTGCTTTGCAGGTACAGTATGTGAAGGTTTTGTTCTTTGGTTGTCTTTGTTTTGTTATTATGATAACCAAAAAATTGTTTAGAATGATGTGGAGAAGCAAAGTAATTAAATTATAGGATCATGTACTACAATGATGTGGCAGATACTACTTGACGGTGGATTTAAGATATTTTGTTGTCGAAAGGATAAGGACAAAACACTCACTCTGTGCAGATCTGCCTGATACGAAGAACAGAAAGAAAACTGTTCCCATTATTAATAGTTTAGGTATAATTTAGTTTTGGTAAGTATTGAAGTGATTTATCTTAATGGCTTGAAGTACATTTTGTAATGAATGACTCTTGGCTTTTCTAGGTAATTTTCAACTCTGAGCTCCTAAAATGTGTATTACCCACCGCTAAGTTAAAAGAACCATAAGTGAGTCCTCTTTGTCATCACAAATGCGAACATACTTCAAGAACAAAGCATACTTTCTGCTTCCATGATTCATGGTGGTAGTTCTACTTGCCATGGTGACATCTTAGTTTGTCAGAGGCTCACTGAAGGTGTTTGTAGTTCATCTACTAAGTTATTCTAATGATAAATAATTTTGTGACAAATAAACATCAGCATACGGTGGCAGCTACCTATGAGAGTAAAATATGTGAGTGACTTCTTTTGAGTTTCATTTGAATAATTGTTCGTTTTAGCTTTACTTGTTGGCAGGTCATTGTTAGAAATATTTTATAGACATCAGTGTTTTCAGTCTGATATCTGAGAATATAATCAGGTGGGTTTTTTTAATTTGTAATGTGATCACATTTGGTTATAATTTGCCTCTTGTTGCCCCTAAGTTATTGTCTCAATTTGATTAAGACATTGGTATTTTTAATCCCACTCTCCTCTAACCTCTAAAAATGGCTGAAATTATTTTTCAGCAGTTTGTTGATCCCTATTTTTAGAAAGTTATTGTTACATACAGCTTTCACTTGATATAGAAATAAACATTGAGCAAATGCTACCTCAGGTAGAAAAATCATGCAGAGGAAACAGATAGATCAAGTAAGGAGGCATAGTTTTTGTGCTTTTTCCCCCCAATAGTATTTTCATATCTTTGAAAATATAAAACAGAAATTTCCACTTTCTTTGTAATATATCTGAATATAATAATGTAATGTAATATACCCCTGACACTGAGCAGCTAGTTAGAATCAAGTATGTAGTACATCTACTTTTATGACATATGAAATTATTTATTAAGATAAAAGCATGATTTGTCATTTGTCTGTGCACTTTGTTCAACTGCATCATTTGGAACAATGTGTAAATTGTGATATTTTGGAGCTTCCCTGTATTGGTTCAAGAAAAAAATACATTGTCAAGAACTTAAGTAAGTTTGCCCTTGCTGTAGTGGGACTTAGCAAGCCAACAATTTGCTGTAGAGACATGAATTCTATTAGCTGCAGGTTGTAAGACCAATTTAAACAGTGTCTGTTAAAAGGATACAAAAATCTAATTTAAGAAATATCGTCTTAACTGTAGATGTATTCAAGATTTAGGGAAATACATTAATTATGATGGAATTCTGGGGGGAGAGTTAGATTGCAGTATTGCTTTAAGACCTCACCGAACTATTGGAATTGTAGAAACCTAGTCGTACCTCAAGCATCTTGTCAGGATTTTTCTGTTAACGTTATTGCATGTTCCTGTTGGCTTCTGTGGGATACAAACTAGAATATTGCTGTAGCCAAGAGGCATATAGCAGCTGATACAAAAGCTGAAAAGAAGGGAAGGCCTCAGGCGTAGTCGATAGGTTGGGCAGAGCTCTGGCTCTCTGCTGTTCATGCTGGGTTGAGCTGGGATGTGTGTGCTGCAAGCCCCAGTCTGATGCTTTTCCCTTGGAAATACCAGTCTCTGCTGGCTCACTTGCTCATGCACAGAGGAAATCTGATGCTCCCCAGCCACCAAACCTCTGCTACTGATAATGTGAATTGTTGTATTCCAAAAGGTATAGATTGGCCGTTTCCAAAAGTGGCTTTTGAACAAGAAACTATTATTGGCAATGTACTGAATTCTTTGTCTTACTGGGAACAGAGCCACATCTTACAAAACCAGGAAGATTGCATTCTACGAGTTTATTGCAGGTCCCTCCGTTACTATTCAAGATTTTCCTGGTTGTTTAGTGTCAGGTTTTTTCTTGTAATAGAATATATTCTGTTGTTTTACTGGAGTCCATAAAAATAAAGCTCGGATGCTTTTTCAGAGCTTCTGTATACTCGTTTTGTAGATGAAGAGCAGTACATTAACAAAATGCTAGTAATAATCCCACCGTATATATTGTTGCTCATCTCATTGTATCTGGTGTGACGTCTGCTACCACAGTGCTTGAGAACAGATTAAGGAAGAGGAATAAAATATTCATACCATTGCTTGAAGTTAATAGCTGGTTTATTTTAGTGAAAAATTACTCGGGCTGTATTTTGGCCAGTATCTGATCTCTAGCCATTTTGCAACTGGGAGGAAGGGAGGGTGGTATTTCACTGATTTCTCTAGAGATGGCAAAACTTGGGCTTGCCAGATCTCTGTGGTGTTTCTCAGCTTGAATCTCTTAGTCCAAGAGTGACATTCTTTTGAACTATTCTTTTTTAGACTATTTACAGTCTGAAGGTGCCAGGCAGGATCTCGTTGCAAATTTTTAATAGGCCTATGATCTATGGAATAGCACAATAGAATTTCATATTAATCTGCCTTATTTAGCAGATAGGCATCTGCATGTCAAGCCTAGTGGTAGACTTTAGGTGGCTTCACAAATACAGTTGAGGTAAGGCATGATGGAGTAAGTCAACACTGAAGCGTTAAAAACATGCTTTACATGTGTCTTTTTGTGTCTGGGATGTATTGATAATCTATTGCTGCTGAAATGAAAATTAAAGAAGTATTTCTGATTGTTCTTGGTAGTAGGAAGATCAAAATGACATGGAGATTGTATTGCTCATTGTTTAAAGCAGATGTCTTCTGTTGAGGGCAATTAAATTCCCAGTTATTTGCTTTTCTCTCTTCTAGGAGTTGTCATTGTCCACGTGCTAAAAACTTTATTGTCATGCCCTAAGAAAGAATTTTTCCCCTGACAAATCATATACTTGGACAAGCATTTAAATCAGGCTGTATTACAGTTAAAAAACACCTGCAGTGTTGTGAAAGCTTAGTGTATCGATTGATAATTTATTCATACAGATAGCACTGTGATGAGAAAAATGTGATCCCCCCCCCCCAGGAACTATTGCTGTGGTGTTTGCTATCTGCTGCTGTGGCTACCTCAGAATAATTTGCAATTACACATAAATTCCTATTTTAAAAGGTTTTTTTCTCTTTAATTTTCTGTAATAAAAAGTTTTTCTCTGACATTTCGGAAAAGACTACTTAACATTTTTTGCCACTAAAAAGCAGTTTTTATCAGAGAAACACTTATTCTATGTAATCATGTTTCCAGCAACACATTGTATTTTTAATACTCATTAAGAAATAATGGCAAAAACCACAGTAGTGCTTAATTTGATAAAATGTCAGTAAAGGCAAGAAGAGGCCTGAGGATGATAACTTCTCCCACTGTTTAGGTGGAGAGTACTTAATAATCAGAAACAATTTTTATATTAAAAACACATTCTAAACAATTTGCATAAAATACTTTACAGTAATAATAAGTCTTCCTAAAAAAAATTTTTTCTCGGAAAAGATTCTCTTCAGATAATGCAGGACTATGAACTATCTTCCTTTGGTAGTTGGAACAGATAAAACTTTTTGTTTAAAAAGAAAAACTCCAAAACTACAATGCTGGAATATAACATTTCCTCTGTAAGGTGTTGGTCAGTAATATTGCCTAACTGCATATTCATGCTTTTCTTTGGCAAATGTGGTCGAATTGTAAAACATATGTGCCCCAGACATCTGGAATACTTAAATCTAAATGTGGTTAGAGTGGGAGTAAGGTGCGTAAAACTGTTAAACACATAAATACTTCCAAAATTCTGGTTTTCAGGTGTAGGTAAGGGGTGGGGTCTTCCAATGAAGTGATTTAATCTGACAGCCTACAAAGTCATCAGTGCTGGTTTAGGACCTCGTTTGCTCCAGTGTTGTGCCTGTGAATACACATGTTGTACCAGTGTAACAGAGGGAGTATCTTTAATAGTAGATAAATTATTCATTAGTGCTTTGGCTGATTTCTATTAGATCACTAGTGGCAATAGATCATAGTGGCAATAAGCAGATGTTTATTTTTCAAATCGAGTATACTAAGTATTCTAAAAGTATACTTGTAGTATACAGTATTAAAAACAAGTGTAAGAAGTCTTAGTAGCAATCAGGACAAAATTAAAAATTTAACCTGTATTAGGTTACAACAAAGGTACATTTGGGCCAGCATCTGTTCTCCAACAATGACCAAAAAGCAGAATAAAGATAATATTGATTAATTTTGCCTCTAGAATTTCGCTTGTGACTCTTTCATATTGCTTTGGTGTAATAAGGGCCTCTTTCTAGCACTTACTACACAGTCTGTTGTGAAAGAAACTTTGATATGCAATATTAAAAACGGTGGCATTCTATAAATAATAGTAAATCTATTTTTTTTATGCAAATAACTTTTGCATTGTATTCTGCACCACATAAAGTTTAAAAATTGTCAGTCAGTTCTCAGAATTCAGAGGTTTGCGAATACCATCCAATAACAAGAAAGATTTTATTACTCCTGAGAGAAAGTCAGCCGTGTGTGTGTATCATATGATTCAAATTCTTGGCAATATAAAGGTTAAATGAACTAGCATTTCTCATATTTTATGTTGAAAACTATGTTGCCAAACATCTTTATTTTGGAGGGTTATAATAGGTTTTCTCTCCTTTCAGACTTTTATTTCATGGCCTGCCTTTTTTACTCAGTTTGACTTGCGTTCCTGGAAGTAGAGACTCTCACAAGTAATGTCTGAACAACAGCAGTATTTGACAATATTTTAAAGGTATTTTAAAACATAGAAAATCC